CTCTCGTGCACCTAAGAATTCAAGTACAACACTCTACACTCGGGGGGAATCAAACCCCATAGCAGAGGAGACTTACAACTAACAAGCAGATGCCCAACCAACTGATCTGAGTATGCGGCGCGCACGCGCACACACCCACACAGATATATATATATATATATTACATTTTATGTCCCACAAGCTGTGGCGTGTTGGTTGGCGGGGTTCACTGTAAGTCAGTCGAGCCCGGTCGAGTACCACATCCTACACACGGAGAAGATCGAACCCCAAAACAAAGGGGACTTACACCGTTGAAGCGGATGCTCTACCAACAGACCACTATTAGTACCACTTTTTTTTTATTTTAGCCACAAATAATTCCTTGCAGTATTTATTATAATTAAAAATACTATTATAATTACTTTTTTTAAGTGAAATATATATTTTTATCTATATGTTTTTACATGTGTATGCGCACGCGTGCGTGCGTGTGTGCGTGCGTGTGTGTGCGTGTGTGTGTGTATCGCTGATCAACCCCAAAGTCTAACCGAGGGCGGATGATTAAATAAGATCTGCAACGCTTTTATATAAATATAGATATATTCTCCACCTTGACCCTCAATTGAGAAGCTTCGAAGTAAAGATTCCCTCCACCTGGCCCCTGAGAGGGCCTCAGCCCTTGGTGAAGTTTACTAAGTCCAGACAGTGTCTGAACTTAGTTGTCGGTAGCACCTTGGTGAGCATATCAGCAGGATTTTCTTCAGTAGGTATCTTTTCCACTACTATTGAACCCTTGGCAACGACATCCCTCATAAAATGAAGCTTTATATCTATATGGTTGGATCTTTCATGAAATACCTGATTTCTGGTTAGGTGAATGGTGCTTTGGTTGTCGCAAAACACAGTTATCACCTTCTGATGTATCCCAAGCTCTTCAGTCATGCCCTTTAGCCACATAGCTTCCTTGATTGCTTCAGTCACAGCGATGTATTCGGCCTCTGTTGTCGAGAGGGCCACAACGGATTGGAGGTTAGACTTCCAACTGACTGCAGTACCGAAAACAGTGAAAATGAATCCGGTCAGTGACTTCCTGGTGTCAATGCTTCCTGCATAATCTGAGTCCACGTAACCAACTACCTTTTCTTCTTTGTCTTCATGCATTTTGAAGGAGTATAGGCGCTGCTTCAGAAAGAGCCTATTAGCCAGAGACTTTGTCAGGTAGAGTACCTCGAGTTTGGCCCAAAGCGCTTGAGTCGTTGTCTCCCTCGACACCTCCCTCAAAACTTTGTCGCCCAAGCTCAGGATTATCAAACTGTGGGCCTTTTCCAGT